TGTGTGTGTGTGTGTGTGTGTGTGTGTGTGTGTGTGTGTGTGTGTGTGTGTGTGTGTGTGAGAGAGAGAGAGAGAGAGAGAGAGAGAGAGAGAGAGAGAGAGAGAGAGAGAGGGAGGGAGGGAGCTTTACATTGTTTACAACACTCGACTGCTCTACGGTGAGTCGACATCACTACTCTTCCACGCGTGACTTTTGTACGATGTTATGACGACCCGCGACTTTTGTATGATGATCCCCTGCTATGACGACCCGCCCCCTCCAATCAGACAACTTTTTTTTTTTTTTTTTTTTTTTTTAAACAGGGCCTTAAGGTCCTGGCTCCTTCTATTTTGGGAAGCGTTAGTCCGGTTCCTATTCCACCGGCAAGTCAGAAAAAACATTGCATTAGAGCATAAACTCACGCTTCCTTCCGTTTGGCCGAAGGACCCCTGAACAGCATTGATTACTCCACCGTTGCAGAGGATTGACTGTCAGCTTGCCATGACTCACTCGCTCCTCTCATACCTGAAAGAGCAGATCGGTCAGATAGCGCTATGTCACCTAGAAGGAGCTTGCCCATTGTTCCTGCTCATCTATGCTTTCCCCCTCATCCGCCCTGTCCGTGTGTCAAGATATCCCTTCCCCCATGGAACGTTCCCCCTTCTTTTGAGGATCACTAAACCCTAAACCCTAACCCCTCGACCAGCGGCCCTCACTGTCCCTTCTTGGGGTTGGAACTAAGATCCAATCAGACTAACTACCCCCAAGGAGAGAATGAGCAAGGCACCGGCCAACAGGTAAGTCTCGAGCCCACCGGCTGCCCTCACGCTACTTCCATCGATAGGATGAGCAACATCGAATGAATCGTCCGCTAGAAGATCGAAATATACATTACTACACGCACGCACGCGCGCGCGCGCGTGTGTGTGTGTGTGTGTGTGTGTGTGTGTGTGTGGGGGGGGGGGGGGGGGGGGGGGGGGGGGGGGGGGGGGGGGGGGGGGGGAGGCCCCCCACCAATCAATCAATCAATCAATCAATCAAAAAAAAAAAAAGAGCAAAATCGAATGAATATTCTGCCAGAACATTGAAATATACAGTACTAAGTGTGTGTGGGTGTCTGTGTGTGGGGCAGGGGGGGGGTGACCCCTGCCCCACCAATCAATCAATCAATCAATCAATCAAAAAAGAAAAAAAGAGCAAAATCGAATGAATATTCCGCCAGAACATTGAAATATACAGTACTAAGTGTATGTGTGTGTGCGCGTGGGAGGTGGGCGGGGGGGAGGGCGACCCCTCCCCCACCAATCAATCAATCAATCAAAGAAGAAAAAGAAAAAAAAAGAGCAAAATCGAATGAATCTTCCACTA